TTCCTTTGAACAAACTGATCTACAGAATAGTAGGGGTGTGTGTGTGTATATATATATATATATATATATATATATATATATATATATATATGGGCTTTTAATATGGTGCAATGGTTAGCAAGCTTGTCTTGCTAATCCAATTAGGATTGAAGAGTGAGTTTGATCTTCACTGGGTGGCATATACTTTCACCTTGTGCCACATCTACACTACACTTAGAAAATCAGTGTATATATATATATATATATATATATATATATATATATATATTATATGCGTGGTACTTGAATCAATCCACTTTTTTCAAAAATATACTTAAATAGATCCACTTACTTTTTACATGAGCGGTACTTAAATAGATTCACTTTTAAAAAAATAAACCAGTTTGTCTGATGATCGCAAAAATTGTGAAAACTAGGGTTACAAACTAATATCCATACAACTGAATATATATATATATATATATATAAGTTAACATTGAAGTCAACACTTAGAGGTGACAGGCTGTTTCATGCTAGATGCAATCATCAGGCCATTTGTCAGAACACTCATTGCCTGACTATTGCATCTAAGGAAACAGCCTGTCGCCTAAGTGTTGACTTCAATGTTCACTTTTTATATTTACACACAATCTATCTGATATTGAGCACTTTATCCCATAAATATAGGACACCTTAAGTATATTTCTTCTCTCTCTCTCTATATCTATATATATATATATATATATATATATATATATATATATATATATATATTTTTTTTTAAAATGTTACAAATGTTGTAATTGTACTCTATTAAATTAAATGTTACAAAATTTGGAATTGTACTCTATTTGTCCTCATCTTACCTGGAGATATATATATATATATATATATATATATATATATATATAATTTTGAATTCTCAGAAATGATGTATAGAGGAACAAAATTTGTGAAGAGAGAGATCATTGATTATGCAAGTAACAAACTTATGGTTCATTAAAATTAGATAACAAATGGCTAACATTTACAACGTTCTAATTAGCAACATGCAGTTTTGGATCAGAGCCAAGAAATCTAAGTCCATTTTGACTGTGGACATTTCTGAATATTCAATCTAAGCCAATATTATACGAAATGTTGCAGCATCCAACCTGTCCATTTGTATTGGACCCTCCATTATTTTGGTTTCTCTTTTATTTTGTCACTTTTTGTTAACTATTGTTTGTTTTTTTTGTTTTTTTATCATTTTCTATTTTCTTCATTCAAACAGTGAACTCAATTTGGTTCTGTTTCATCTGTGCCAATCATTTCTGTTATGAGCCATGAATAATTTATATTTCACCTCCAATACAAAAAAAAACCTTACATCTTTTCTAAATTTATGCACATGATGTTTACCATAATAAGTCAAGTGTAGCTATTTTAGATGGACCCAGAAAAGGGTCCTTATACAAAAGAGAATTAAACAAATATATGTATGTATGCACACAACTGTGTCTGTGCTTGTATTTATAAATTAATAGGTACATAGATATATGTATGAACAAAAGCCCCAAATGTTTGGTACAACCAACAGAAAGCCTGACACCTGCCAGGTGACCAAAAGAAAACTTAATTAAAAGTACAATAGAGAAGAGAACATGTAAAAACAAATAAAATAAAACCAAGAAACAAAATGATACAAGAAAACGAGAAACTCAAACTGATGAAAGAAAGATAGACACCCACCTAAGCAGTAACTGACAGTGTTCTATACCTTTAGTTATCAAGACAGAACAAAAACGCTTCACAGCATCACACCTCAGGAAGAGACAACATTCATGCTGCTACTTAAGTTTCACACTACCACAACTGGCAGATGATCAGAATGCACACACACATACATACATACATACATACATATATATAATGATACAATATGGTAATTCGTATGGAATTTCTAGGAGGATAAACATCCAGGGAGAGCTCTATGTCAAAAAACAGAGCAAAATTATTATTAATTAAAGAATATCAAACACTTAAAATCCCATAGATAATTATGTTTATTTCATAAGGTCTCAATCTTCAAGACCTACAAACCTATATATAAAGAAAAATATACTGAAAAAACAAACAAAAATCCTAATATGCGATTATGCTGTTTTAATGTCAATGTTGGATGTTTCGGTCTAATAGACCATCTTCAGGACATAATCATAAAACATAATTAACATAGACCATATACAATTCAACATGAAAAGGATGATGGACATAAAAGCAATACCAATCCAAACTGAAATCTTTTATAAGATCAGCGTTCCATTTAAATATGATCACGTCATTGTCACATGGGCGATGTTGTGAAAACGTATTCCTAAAATTTGAGTATTTTGAATGAAAAATGATAAAAGATTTCAGTTATCTGTTTGGATTGGTATTGCTTTTATGTCCATCATCTTTGAACAATAATACATATGAACTGTACAAAAAAGATAATGACACCCCAACTTGCGTACACACATCCTCCAGCCATCCACCTTCAATCATCAAAGAAATACCTATATCAATCAATCTGATAACTCCTCTAACATACACATTTTCGATAACAAAAAACACCATACAACGAAGCACTAAAAGCAAGTGGATACACACAACTACAAAATACACCTCCATATCCAAATGCAAAAAACAGAAAAAAGAAATATTATCTGGTTTAATCCACCATACAACAAATCCATCAAAACAAACATAGGACATTCCTAAACTTAATAGAAAAGCACTTCACTGAAAGAAATTGATTAGCAAAAATATTCAACAAAAATAACATTAAAATCAGTTACAGCTGCACAAAAAATATAGCAGAAATGATAAAAAAAAAAACAACCTTTCATTCTCCAACAGAAAATACTTGAACAGCACTACACTATCCATATACATATGGCATCTAAAAGACAGAAATATTACACCAAGAATAAACTGGAGAATGTTGAAAAAAGCACCTGCCTACAACAACATTACAAAATAATGCCTACATGAAAAAGTAGCAATAATATCTCATACTCTGCAAAAGAATTTACTGTACATAAGATTGGAAATAATTTCCAAATGTAGGCATGAAAATAAATACCTATTATCAGAATTTATACCAAACGGATAAAGAAAAAACACCACCACATAAACCACCATTGACCCTATAAACATGAAAAGAGAAACCACTGATACCATAACGCCAATGATTACTCTCTAGTTCAAGCTACCATCATAATAATTGCATTTATTGTTATTATCATTCCACCGCCATTACTGATCACTTCTACCACTTTACAATAACTATTTGCTACTACAATTACTATTATCACCCCCACCATTACTACCACATCACAATTACTCCCTCCCCCACCACAGCAAAATTAATACCACCGCATAAAAACTAATAAGGATTACAACAAATTGAAATTTCGACCATTTGAATATGCGCAATCACCAAAAGCAAGCAAATAGCCGGCTTTAAAATAACAAAACAGCCTTAAAAAATTAAAAATAATAGCAATTTTTACCTATCATAGTTTTACACAGACCCCCATCATACGTATATACATGCATGTGAGGAAATATTATTCAGTAAAAACTAGAAAAACAGCCTGCATGGTGACATTGCTACATTCAAGAGAAATATTTGCTACACATCCCATCATTGAAATTCAGCAATCAAATGCGTGTGTATGTACACAACAGCACACATATACATATATATATCAAGTCCCATACTGTTCACATCTGTTTATGTTCATGTGAGTTCCGGTGGGTGAGTGCATACGTATGTGTGTCTGCGTACTTCAATGGGTGTACGGGCATGGATGTATGTTTGCATAAATATGAGTGGTGTCACGACAACAATTTTCCCTCCCACTTCCATAAAAACACCAATATACGCTACCTACATAAATCCAAAATTTTAAAAAATTAATCAGTTTGTCTGACGATTGCAAAAGCGTGAAACGCAGGGTCACAAACTCACATCAGTCCAACTAAATATGTTAGCCCAATCTCTCATATTGGGCGCTTTCTAATAAGTACCATGCATATAATATGTAAATAATATATATAATATATTGCACACACACACACACTTTTTATATATATACACATATATATATATATATATATATATATATAGAGAGAGAGAGAACACACACATATATATTTGCTCTGTGTTAGCATATATATATATAAAACAAAATTGCAACTTTTGTAGTGATCTTATAACATGTATATGTTATAAATTTATATTATATATATATATATATATAAATAAAAAGAAAGAACAGTAAGATATAAAATCCGGTGTTCTTATAGATATTTTATTTTTACAAAATAGTGCTCAATGTAAATTTACAGAGCATTAATATTATAAATTAATTGATTTAAAATATGGTTATTTTCGCTCCCATATTTTAAATCAATTAATTTATAATAATATATATATATATATATATGCACACACTAACATAGAGCAAACTCTAGTATCTCTCTCTCTCTCTCTCTCTCTCTATATATATATATATATATATATATATATATATATATATATATATATATGTTTGCTCTATGTTAGTATCTATACAACCATTACATATGTTTCATATATATCCTCATCCAACTTTGATTTGTTATCAATGTATACGCACACACTACCCTAATGTTTGCACACATACGTGTGTGTATATTAATAAGATTGGTCTTGAGACAAGCTAATTTAATGTCCTAATGATCAGAGATGATATTAGAGAAACACCTAATAGCATTACAAATCTCTACTCCTGTCCATGATGAAAGCAGAATGCATTAAAAGCTAAAAAGCACTTTTATTTCCATTTGTGACCAAATAAAATCCCTGAAAATAGTTGATCAGTTTTTGATGATCAGCCAAGAGCGACAAATAGATTGACTTGAGAAAATTTTTAAGAGCTTTTTCGTTTTGTTTTCTTTTTGTTTTCTTTAATTAATACTTCTTTTAGAATCTTTTAATTTTCGAAGAAATGATTTCTTTGAAAACATATCAGAATAATAGCCTTATTGATCGAAATCAGCCAAAGTATATTGCAGAACACACAAGCTCTCACTCTCTCTCTCACACAACCATGCTTCCCATAATTCCCTCTCTCATCCTCATGATCCCCTATTCCATGCTTCCCATCCCTTCCTCCCTCCCATCCCTCAGTTCCCATCCCTCCCTCCCTCCCTCTCAGTTCCCATCCCTCCCTCTCTCTCTCAGTTCCCATCCCTTCCTCTCTCTCTCAGTTCCCATCCCTCCCTCTCTCTCTCAGTTCCCATCCTCCTCTCTCTCTCTCAGTTCCCATCCCTCCCTCTCTCTCAGTTCCCATCCCTCCCTCTCTCTCTCTGTTCCCATCCCTCCCCCTCTCTCTGTTCTCATCCATGGTTCTCTCCATGGTTCCTCCCCCCTCTCTCTCTCTCCCATGGTTCCCATCCCTCCGTCTCTCTCTCTCTCTCTACCTCCGGTTCCCACCCTCCCCTCTCTTTTCCCCTTGTCTCTACTCTTTTTCCTCCTCTCTTCTTGGTCCTCCACTCTCTCTCTCTCTCTCTCCTCACTCTCATTCTGTTTCTCTCTCTGCCCATGGGGCTCCATTCTCTCTCGCATTGGCACAAATGATTGTTATAAATAAAAATTTGATATCTTTTTCTTTTTTCTTTTTTTTAGCAAGCAAAAGATCTTGGATATAAGGACTTACCTCGTATACGTCTTGATGGAGGCAAAGAGGCCTTCATTAAATATTGGGGTTATGATACGCTAGATAGCATAAAAGAAAATGCCTTTCAACAACACAAAAGACGTCCAACACAAGGTAGGTAAATGTGAAATCTTTCTTTTCCTATTTTTTGACAAGGATAAAGATGACTGGTGTTAGAACTGGGTATGGGCATAAAAACATCTGTCATGTCCTCCTCCAGTTTGTAACCAAGTTTCTCTGTTTATAGACATCATTCTGAGTAGCAATTTTAAGGTTCATGCCTTCTTTAAAAGTTCTGTAAGAAGCAGCTATAAATTTTACAATTTATGCCACAGTTACAAATTGCTTCACTTTTTGTAATATAGCTTAGCAACCTTGTATTCAAAATGGAAATGTACAATTTTATTCTCAATTATTGTGTTTACACATTTGGAGATGTTCAATCAAGTCATACAACTAATATTTCATTATTTTCATTAGATGAAGCATTGTCAACCATTATTATTAATTTTAACTACACTATTTACATTATTCAGGCTATTGTCCTTATCTTTGTCGCCATATTTATTACAACATTTCAGCCATTGTACACTCCTACCTTCTTCAGGTGGTTGGAATGTTGAACTGAACCCTTTATTCCGCTCACTGGAGTAGACTGTTCTAGTTCCACATGCCATGTTTTTTAATGGATGTCAGTTATCAGTTATCTCCTGTTAATTCCCCTCTGAAAGTTCTCCACTGCATTAACCGGGTATTGAACTCACACTCTTTGGGTCCTGTCACTGAATCTAACCAACGCCTTTATCCACTGTGCTATGTGTCCTTGAGTGAGCAAAATAAAGGGTTCAGTTTGACATTTCAACCACCTGAAGAAGGTCGGGGCATACAATGGCCAAAACGTTGTAATAAATATGGTGACAAAGATGAGGACAATAGTCCGAATAATGTAAATAGATAATTTTAATTAGTATTTACCATATTTGATGGCATATAAGGCACACGTTTTTTTACTAAAAATATCTTTTAAAATTCCCCAGCTTCTTAAATGCCATATGTAGGTTTCAAATTCATGATAGTCAGCCGAGATTAGATGACGCATTATTTAACGATGATAGTAGTATTGAAAATGAGTATCAGAGTTTTGATAATGAAGATAACAAATTTTATGGCTTTGAAGATGAATAAAATTTTAATGGTAACTGTCCTATTTTGCTCAATTGTAATAATTGCTTGATTTGATTTTTTTTTTTTGTTTTCTTACCTTTGGATATTATAAAGTTTTTATAGGCTTGCATTCTTTTTTCCTATTAATTTTTTGTTTAATTGTAATCATGGCTAATACCTCATAAATATAACCTAGGCTGTACTATTTACTAATAATTTGACTAATTTTACCAATTACTAATTTTTGGGGTGCGTCTTATATGCCATCAAATACGGTACTTAATACTATAATTAGTTTTTATCATGACTGATCACTAATCCCTCACAGAATCTCACTGAGGTTATATGTTTTATTTTCAGTCTTGTGCTATTTGCTTACTGAATAAAAAGTAAATTAAAATAAAGATAAATACATTGCATTTCATGTCGTCTCTGGCTTCAATTCCCCAGGCCCCAATGCTGCACCAAAAACTAAATCAATTTGATTTTTAATCACTTTATTTCATGGGAGACAATAGTGGCACCATTTATTGGAGGAAGAAAGAGAGAGATAGAGAGGATGGTTGTCAACTGGTTGATTAATTACTCATCACTATGTGCTGACTTGTTTCACTAAGGAATCTAGGTGTGGCAAGTCATCTTGACCCTTCTATTCTTGCAGCCATACTGACTGCCTTTATATGTTTTTTGTCTCTTATTAAAACTTAAACAAAGCCACTCCATCACTATCAGAATTCCATGCCCTCAAGGTTCAAGCCACTCCCACTCAGTTCAGCGAGTAAGACCAGTAGTTTACTATTTTGGGCTAGCCTTCTCATTTTGTAACAAATACAACCAAAAAGTTAGCATTCAAATTCCTAATGTAAGCAGTTTTTGTGCATCCAACTTGATCTGTATTCTATGAAAAGAACAATCTTGTTAAATTCAAACAAATTTTCATTTTAATTTTTTTTTAAACTGAACTTTTAAAATACTGGCACAAAAATGTATATAGGTAGTAATTGATGTTCAGATAAATGTGGTTCTCTACACTTGGGAATTTCTTAAAAGGTATTTGGTAGGTAAAAACATATCTTCCTTTTTCTGAATTCTTAATCTAGAGCATCTATACCAACCTGAATATATCTTTCACTTCATATCGCCATTTGCTAAGATTTTTTTCATCTAAAATCATTGCTGCCATTGTTGATTTCTTTGTGTGGAAATTTTAGAAACTTATTTGTGGAACAATTCGAATCCAAATTGGCTGGTGGATAGGGTAACAGAAAGCAGAAAACATGTCCAGACAAAAAAAATGGGATGTGCAAACACATCAAAATAACATGAAAGTGACTTCTAAAAGGAAAACTCAACTTAACCCAAAATTCCACCACTAAATCACAAAGCAATTAAAGTCTGTAATTTTTGGGTGGAGAAATGCAAATAACACCAAGAGAGAAAGTATTGCAGAGGAAACAGTCCCTTCAGAGGAAATGGTTGAGCAACAAACAAGGAATTATGAATTAAGAAGTTAAGCCAATTGCAAGTAATTAGCCGTATTTTTTACTGGGACATTACAACCTCCAAGCAATGAAAACAGCAGCACTTGATATGTACTGGCATCATTCATTATTTTTAATGTAGATATTTACCTAAAAACCTGACCTACAAGCCATGTCAGTTGTGTCATATATATAGCATCATTTACATTATTATTTTTTTATGGTTACCCCATATTTGAGTAGATGCTTGGTTTAGTTTAAACAGCATTTATTTTAGCTAATAAAAATGTCAAATTTGAAATAAAAAAATAAGCCATTAATTCTTTAGAAATTGCTTTGTTTTTCATTTTGGACACACTCACGCACATATACATACATATGTATATGTATGTATATATATATATATATATATATATTCTTAGCCAATTCGTTTTCACCCTCTGAGAGACTTTAGTGTTTCAACCCTCAGAGGATAAAACGTGTCAGCTAAGAATAGTTTTTCATCTTTTTTATTCTTTCATATATATATATATATATAATATATATATATAAATAATATAAAAGGCTCAAACACTAATATTCCATCGTTATGATTTATTATATTGGAATCGCAAATTTGTAGGTCTGATGAATTGAATTTGAGCCTTTTATATTATATTCTTGCACTATTTTGGATATTGCACTCTACCTTGATTCTATCCCCTTGGAGATATATATATATATATATATATATATATATATATATATATATATATATATATGAAGTAAAAGCAAAACAAAAGTTTTCTTTGAAGAGTAACGTGATGTGTAACAGCTTTTTGTCGCTACTGCTTGGCAAGGCTGTTATGAGAGAGTGGTTTTACCAAATACTGATTCACTCTTTTTTTTTTTTTTTTTTTTTTCATCAATTGTGACATGACACTGATGAGACATAATTGTCCAAATATCTTGAATGCGAAAGAAAAATTCTGAACAAAAAAACAAACGAAATATTTCATTAATGTTTCATTAAAATAATTGTTTATTGAAGTTCTTGAAAGTCATAAACCATCACATTTGTTTTCATCCTGTGTGAAGGTCTTTATCAAAATGTTCTTTTTACTCTTTTATTTCTATTGCTTTTTTTTTTTATCTGTCTAGTTAGCATATTTGAATGAAATATGCTAACATTACTCCTGATCTTTGTATTAATGACCCCTGTTATTTTTCATTTGTTTCTATTCTTTGTTTTGTTCTCTTTCTGGGGAATATTTTGGTACTGACAAAAGTGCCATGCTTGATTTAGATCAAATCTGAAAACCTATAAAAATTCAATCGAGCAGAAATTTCGAAAGTAAATTTTGGACTCACTTCTTATTCAATAAGTACACCAGAGCTTTACAAACTTATTCAGATTAAGAACAATTTAAAATTAGCATTTTTGATATTATTTAAATTTTGTTAGCCAAACCAAATATATTTAAACAATTCAATGTAAAATTTAGTCAGTAATTAAAGAATAGGTAATTAATTATATTAAAACGTCAGGCCACACCAGTTTGAAAATCTCTGGTGTGGATTGTCAATGATAGTGATTAATTATTAAGAATATAACATATTAAAATCCAAAATCAACTTGAGGTTTAATTTTAATAGCATTGTGATATGATTTATTATCCATTGTTGTTCTGACACAAAGTTTAACAAACGACAAAGTAGTTATGGCTAAATCAAAGATATAGTTTACAGATGAAAATTAGAGTTGGCGCCCACTTAAAGGTCTATTGAGAAAAGTAACCGTTGGGGGTATTGGTTCTACCGGCTCTTGAGAATTGGCTCTGATCCAAGATCTAAACTTGGCTGACCTGAAGTTTTCTCATACTTGAATATATCAGTGCTCTGACTAAGCTCAGTCTGACAAAAGGCCACAGATATAGAGTGCTCTAAAGTAAGGAGTGGTCTGCAAGACTAGCTTTTTGACCATTACACTATAATAAGACCTTTATAAAATATCATTTGAATAAATTGTTTCTATTGAACTGATTTGTATCTGACATTTTTTTTACTTCAACCAAAATCTAATTTTTAGCAAAAGAACAATGATTCTCTATCCTTAAAGGTTTTTGGTAGGTAAAAATGTACCCTCCTTTTTCTGAATTGTTAATCTAGAGCATCTATACCAACCTGTAAAAGAAAATGGTTTTAAGTGAATAATCTGAAATAAATTCTGGAAAAGATGAAATTTCTATCCAGAATTCTTGGACCTTAGCAAAAAAATCTGACTTAAAAATATCTTTTCATTGTTGAAGT